AACGCCGACTGAAGCAATTTGCAGAGAACAACTTCATTCACATACCTTCATATCTTGTTTTGCTTATCTTATCAGCTTCCTGCAAATTGCTTCTGGGCATTCTGCCAACCACAGTAAGCTTTCAGTTATTATTCTTTGAATTCTTGGCGGCTGTTAATGCAGTTAATTAACAGCTGTTGTTGTAAAAAACTGGTTTATTTAGTAAACTAAGGTTTGAACTGACTTTGTGTGTGCTGCGTTCTTTGGGGTCCGTAGCTGGGGCAGAACAAATTCACATGAAACCATCCTAAATACGAGTCAATTGCCAAGCATCTTAATTTTGATCACGTGACTATGTGAATATTGCAATGGCCCTAAGTGTGAAAAACGGTCCTAACTCGTTGTTTTTAGTGCCGTTGTGGCTTTAAACAGTCACTAAATGAATTGTTGTAAGTCGAGGACTACCTGTACTGTATAGCCTCTGTTTTGATTTGCTCCTTTTGTATGTGGAAAAATCGCGGAGAAAATCTACCTGTGTAAGTTGCTTAAGTATTGACAATGACTTGATGGCATATATTCAATCAATCAATGCCACCAGCCACTGCCCACCATCTGCCAACAGAATAATGAAAGGGAGACAGGGCGGGAGCAGAGCTTGGGCAAGCGATGGGTTTTGACAGACGATCACAGTGCCTGTCCAACTGAGCCATCCAACAGGAGACCAAACCTGTCAATCAAGGAAAAGAACTGCTGGAAAAAAAGAGATGGAAGCTCCCATAAAGCCTGAAAACCTCACCAAATAGCTGATTGTTGGCCTGTGAGGTTGTTGCATAATAAAGTGAGACAGCTGGCTCTCTCCAAACCTGGCAGCACCACCTCTCTCTCTTTACCATCCAACATAAGCCAGCTTGGTTTGATATCAACTTCAAAGCTTTTTCAAATATCTAGTTTCTTCTATGGATAGCAGCAGCCCACAGCTGTGTCCAATTTTCAGGAAGGGTGGTGGTGGGGGGAATAGCTTTTCTCATCCTCTGCAAATCCTCATATTGCAATGAAGGAACAGGGAAATGCACCAGGTTTTCCACGTCCTAAAATGACTTAAGGGAGAAATACTGATTGATGCTTTAAAACCAGCATTGATGCCTGGCAATTGGCTGGAGAAGTCTGCCTTAACCGCTATACTAAACTGGCTCTTTAAGGCAGGGTTTTGCAAACTTGCCAAGATGCATAGACTTCAACTCCCAGAATTCCCCAGCCAGCCATGCTGGCTAGGGATTTCTGGGAGTTGGAAGTTTGCACATGTCGAAGTTGCCAAGATTAGGAAACCCTGCTCTAAGTGAAAAAAACAACAACCATGCCTTTAAAATTAAACATTTAAGCCTGGCACATCAGTGGGCTGAGGATGATATACAGCCATGGCAAATGTGTGTTACATTTATGTGCATGTGACATTTCAACTCTATATTCAGCTCTCTGGATTCCCTTTGTCCAGCCTCCACCTGGTGCAAAATTTGTGCGTGGGTGAAAAGACAGAAGTTTTGTGAGGGTGAAAAAGCTTGGGAAGAATGGTTGGCTACTCTTCTAACTTATACACATGAATATTGAGAAATAAATCTATTCTTTTTTAAACTTTGCAAGTAGAAATGTCACATAAGGAAAAGGGTGGGTCTGGACTTTGGGAGGTTTTTTGTTGTTGTTGAAGGAACTAGTTTTACAAGACTGAACATCCGCTAAGAGCAGTATCTGTGAACACATTGGTAACCACTAATGCCCAACCCCTATTGCTTAACTTTCTGAACTACTGGTAAGCCTTGATTTATATACCATATTGGGGCAAGAACTTCCATTGCTAAACAAGCCAGTTGTTAAGTGAATCATACCCAATTTCTTTTGACAAGATTGTTAAGCAAATCATTCAGTTCTTAAATGAATCCTGTGGTCATCAAGTGAATCCAGCTTCCCTTGACTCTGTCTGTCACAAGTAGCTGGCAGCAGAGGTGGTATTCAGCCCATTTGGACCAGTTTGGGCAAACAGGTAATGGCGACCTGTGGGTGGGTGTGGACCCGCAAATGGCAATGATATGATCCTGCAGCCATTTAAATTCATACTGGTTGCGAAGTGCTTGAATTTTGAGGAACAATGGGGTTGCTGCAACAGTCGTTAAATGTGAGGACTGGTTGTAAGTCACCTTTTTCAGCGCTGTTTTAACTTCAAACGTTCACTAAACAAATGGTTATAAGTTGAGGACTACCTGTAGAGAGGTGCTGCTGGGACTTGTTTATCAAACTGTGGTTTAAATCCAAGCCTAGCATTTACATCTGGCAACTGTTCTGTGCTGGGATTATCAGCACAAACCAAAGACGAATAAATAGATTTCTCAAACTTGTCAACTTTGAAGACCTGTGCATTTTAACCTACCTCTCCCCCACCTCCCCAAGCAAGATCCCTACCGTGTTACAAAACAATAAATAAATAAATAATAGAAGAAAAACACGCTCCCTGCTCTTTTTTCCTCTCCTTAAAAATATTGCTTCCTTTCCTCTCTGCATCCACTTTTCCTCCCTTCTCTTTCTCCCTCTTCCCTTGTTTGTCAGGCCAGGTGGATTTTTGTTTGTTTGTTTGTTTCGGTTTGGCAGAATATTTATTAAGCTTCCACCTACCCAAAAACTGATATAAAACATATATTAAAAAAATAAAATAAGGGCAAATGCAGGAAGCAAAAAAAGGGGGGAGGAAAGGGGGGGGAGTTAAAGACTAACTTTTATTAAATAATTACTCATCAGAAAGAAAGAAAAAAAAGCTCCTGTCCTCACGGACCCCCTTTTCAACAATTATCAGCGAACACCTTCCTCCCCCTTCAGCATTGCAAAAATCCAGCCCCTCCTTCCATCCCCACATCTAGAAACCGTGATTTCCCTTTTTTTTTTTTCTCCCCTCCCTCATTTTCAACCCCAAATCCAGACGCTGCAAAGGGTTTGCCCAGCAATAAAGGCACGTATTGTTCAGCCACGTGGATTTTGCAAAAGCCGCTTGGCTTTTCCTTTCCGGAGCCGTTCTAATCCCTCGGCGCCCCGGGCTTGGCTTCCTCCCGCCCGCTCCCCCGCAGCCCATGGCCCGCCTGCCTCTCTCCCCGCGGCCAGTAGATGGGGTCCGCCGGCGTCGCTTGGCCTCGCACGCAGCTTTTGCCTTTTCCTTCCTGCCTGGTTCCTGCCTGGTTCCTGCCTTCCTTCCTTCCTCCAGCCCGTAAAGATGGACCCGCGGTGCCTCTAACAAAAGACCCCGCCAGGCACCCAGCTTTCGCCGCTGCTGCTGCCGCCACTGTCGCCGCTGCTGCTCCTCTTTCAGCTCCTGCTCGCCGGGGTTTGCACGTCTGCCGGGGAAGTGGGGTGCTTGGCGCGTCTGCGTCCCGGGGATCCCCTTTTGTCTCCGACCGCAGCGCCCCCACCCTCGCCCCCATGCCTTGCTGAGACGCTGCGAAGCCCACCCGGGGGGGCGGGTGGGGGAAGGACCCCCTTCCGCACCATGGGCGCCCCCACCTTCCCCCCCGCCGCTGGAGAGGGGCTGGCCCGTCGCTAGATCCCTTCTTGGGCTGAGGATTGGATCTCTTTCCCTGCCGGGGGAAGAAAAGTTGAGAGCACCCCAAGATCTGCCTCTCAAAGCACCTTTGGGCCTCCCTTTGCACCCTCTTTATTCCCCACACCTTGAAGATCCTGAACCCCTAAACTTTACCTCCATACTTATCCGGGCATCCTTCTTCCAATCTGTTGCCCCTTTTGCTGTGGATGTAAAGGGGGTCCTTTGATACCTCCAGATTTGATCATAGCTTTCTGAAGTCTTAACAGGGCTGGTTTCCAAGATAGCTGCTTTTTCTGCACCCCCTTTTTTTATTGGGGCTGCATCCCCCCTTTTGATTGTTGAGAAACTTTCCCCAAAGTGCATGGGTGAGTTAAGGCTGTGTGGTTCAAATGGCAGCTCGTCTTGCGTAGGTACACCACATCCTCATTTGAGGTTTTCCATCCTGTTGGAAGGGGATATTTTTGCAACTTAGGGTCTTTTGGGTCACAGAACCCCTTCTACTATTTTGTGGGGAGCAGTCCCCCCCCCCCAGCATTTTCACACCTCACTAGAAAGGCAATAGACTTCCTTCTCCAATTTGTGAAGTGCTCTTCCCAAATTTCTCTTGTTCTAGAGAGTGTCTCCCTTGTGTCTCGGCCTCTAATTGTAGCTTGTGGGATAAGATTCCCCAATTTTTTTAGGCCTCTTGATATTTCACTACACTATATCCTTATCTTGGTTATATGGTGAGATAAAATCTCACTGCCCTGTTCTCTATTCACAATTTTTTGAAATTAATAGAATCCCAGAAACCCTGTTTTAATGTCTTCTGGTTCCACAAAGCTCAGCTATTAAGAGAAAGATGTTATACAACATTTCTGCTCTTTTCCTATAGATTGTCGAGCCTTCACATCTATTTAGTCATTCTCCTCTTTTTTGTTTAATGTAAGTATCATATTCCAATTTTTTCTGTCAAAAACGCACCTTCTTAGAAACTTCCCTGATGTCCCCCACATCAGAGATTTGGTTAGAGAACTGATTTTCATCAGTTGCTCTGTCACCCCCACTTTCAGCCAGGGTGTATACAGTCCCTAAAAAAAACATATCAAACTATCCCAAAATATAATTTACCCTTTACTGTAAATTTAAAATAAGCCAAGATACCTCTTTTCTTTTAAAGATTTTTTTAAAACCTTAAGGGGAAAAAAACTACTGTATTCATATAAAAACACTCCTTTGCCGGAGCACACAATTTTGCATGCATTTATTTTGCTTGTGAGGTTTGCCCTAATAAACCAGGTATTGAATATTTCCCAAATCTTCCTTTTGCAAACCACAGTTGATCTGAATTCCAGTGGTCTGTTTTGCTCTTCTTCCAGTCTTCTTGTCCAAAATCAGTGTCTCTTTCACTCCCTCTGTCCTAATTTGTCTGATGGCTTTCCAAGACCCAAACCAGCCACTTCAAGCTCAGCTTTGTAGCAATGTTTTTGGGGCATTGACGGGGTTAATCCAGCCACCTTTAGCTGCTGGGCTAGGTGGGGGCCAGAAATATTATTGCAATAATGGGGTACAGATAGCTCCCCCCCCAGCAACAGCAGACAACGCTTGGCAATGCGATGATGGTGGACCCAGAGCCAGATCGACCTATCGGTTATGGTGCTTTTGGTGTGGTATGGTGAGTGTGGTGTTATTTACTGCTGTATGACAGTAGAGAAGGATGAAGGTGGAGGCAGGAAAAGGATTGGAAGTACAGGTAGTTACGATCCCAGTTCGAACCAGGATTTACATTGCTAAACAAGATGGTTGTTAAGTGAGTCACACCCGATTTTACAAGCTTTTTTGCCCTGGTTGTTAACCGAATTGTTGCAGTTGTTAAGTAAATCTGGTTTCCCGCATTGACTTTGCTTACCAGAAGTCAGCCGGGAAGGTTGCATAGGATGATCACATGACCCTGGGACACTCCAACCGTTATAAATGCAAATTGGTTACCAAGTGCCTGAAGTTTGATCACATGACCATGGAGATGCTGCAATGTTCATAAGCGCGAGGATTGGTCATAAGTAACTTTTTTCAGCACCCTTGAAACTTCGAACGTTCCCTAGAAAACTGGTCCTAAATCAAAGGCTACCTGTGAATCATAATAATAGAATTAGAGTTAGAGTTAGAGTTAGAGTTAGAGTTAGAATTAGAAGTAGAAGTAGAAGTAGAAGTAGAAGTAGAAGTAGAATTAGAATTAGAATTAGAATTAGAATTAGAATTAGAATTAGAATTAGAATTCTTTGTTGGCCAAGTGTGATTGGACACACAAGGAATTTGTCTTTGGTGCATATGCTCTCTGTGTGCATAAAAGAAAAAAATACATTCATTGAGAATCATAAGATACAACACTTAGTGATAATCCTAGGTGACTAATAAGCAATCAAATCGTACTAGGAAACAAATAAAACAATATAAATTGTAAAGATACAAGCAACATGGTTATAGTCATAAGTGGGAGGAAGTAGGTAATAGGAAGGATGAGAAGAATAATAGTAATACAGTCTTAGTAAATAGTTTGACAGTGTTGTGGGAATTACTTGTTTAGCAGAGTGATGGCATTCGGGAAAAAACTGTCCTTGAGTGTAATTGTTCTGGTGTGCAGTGCTCTTTAGCGTCATTTTGAGGGTAGAAGTTGAAACAATTTATGCCCAGGATGTGAGGAGTCTATAGATATTTTCACAGCCCTCTTTTTGACTTGTGCAGTATACAGGTCCCAATGAAAGGCAGGTTGGTAGCAATTGTTTTTTCTGCAGTTCTAATTACCCGTTGAAGTCTGTATCTGTCTTGATAGGTTACAGAGCCAAACCAGACAGTTATAGAGGTGCAGATTCAATAATTCCTCTGTAGAACTGAATCTGCAGCTCTTTGGGCAGTTTGAGCTTCCTGAATTGGTGCAGAAAGAACATTCTTTGTTATGCTTTTTTGATGACGTTTTTGATGTTAGGTGTCCATTTTAGGTCTTGAGATATGATAGAACCTAGAAATTTGAAGGTGTCTACTGTTGATACTATGTTGTCTAATATTGTAAGAGGTGGTAGTATAGGAGGGTTTCTCCTAAAATCTACTATCATTTCTACAGTTTTGAGTGTGTTTAGTTCAAGATTGTTCCAGTTGTTTAAAAATAATTTTTATTAAAGAGATTTTTTAGGGTAAAAAGAATACAGATTTTAGAGAAGAAATAGAGAAAAATAGTGCATTGTAAAAGAAAGGAAATAGGAAAAAAAGAAAAGAAAATAGGAAAAAATGTAAAATTGTTTTCCAATCTTCTTAAGAGCAGATCTTAAAATGTATTTATCTTTCCCCCTCTCTCTGTTTCTAAAATTACATTGTAAGTGCCTCCTTTCTCTAGTCTACCCTTTCTCATCACCAAAAAGTAAATTGTAAATGGAAAGACATTTTTCTTCCTGCAGGTCTGTGACAGATCCTCGGGATGGGTCGCGAGTTGCACTCAAAAAGATGCCCAATGTTTTCCAGAACTTGGTCTCTTGCAAACGGGTCTTCAGAGAACTGAGAATGCTCTGTTACTTCAAGCATGACAATGTGAGTGTGGAACAGTGTGCAGAGCTGGTTCGGGGCCAGAGGTGGTCCTTCCATAGCACCCTGGATTTGGTTTCCTCAGATTTAGGAATGTGCATTGTCAAAATGTGTAACCATATATTGATTTTTCAATCATTCTAGCTTCTTTTTAAATTTTAAATTTTTATATACTGTTTTTACATTCCAGTAATTTGTACACTGCCCAGAGTCCCCTCTGCGAGGAAAATAGGCAGTTTCAAAATTGTGGGGTCCTTGGTGCTCTCTGAGCTTGGTTGTTTTCTTGCAGACACTTCATTCTGAGATGGTATAAGATCTCCTGCCTTGGTGATTGGACTAAATGATCTCCAAGGCCCTTCCAGCCTTATGATTGATTCTAAGGCTACTCAACTAGGTAACATCATCAGAATGATCTGATAACATCTGATGACGTTACCTAGTTGGGTAATGAAACATCTGTAAGAAAGCAACCAAGCTCAGAGAGCACCAAGGAACCCACAGTTCAACGGTGAGCTACAAATATTTTCTATTGGTTTCAACATTTGATTAAATAAATACAAAATGGTGACTCCAAACAGATTATAGTGGAGAGGCAACAACAAGAGCAGATTATCATATATGTAGTAACTCTGATCCAGAATAGGATTCTGTGCTGGCATGATCAGATGGATGGATACGTTTTTTATTCAACTCAGCAAAACCATGTGGTTCTACTCATCTCTCAAGAGCGGCTCCAGAATGTTGGATTTCCTCAGGCGTCTTTATTGGGCAATTGACAGGAATGGAGGACAAGAAGAAAAGCACTAGAGCAATACAATTCAGTGAGAAGCAGTAGAAGGAGATGGCTTCTCATGGCCCTCTTGCTCCAGGCGGGGCCTTGCAACCCAAACTCCGAATGGAGTAGGCTGGAGTTAATGGTGGCCTTGCTCCCTGGCACGAAGAAGCTGATGAAGGGCAGTTTCACCTCAGGGACATTTGGAGGAGATGGGTATAAACTGATGATGTGTAGGACAGAAGGAAGTTTGATGAAGGGTCCCTTGTATTGACAGAGTCATTGCAGGTGTGGGTAGCAGAGCCAACCCTATTATTAGACAAACAGGCTGTTCCTACCAGCTAAATTTCAGTTCTGTTTCCGAGTAGCTACGTTATTAGTCGCTGTTGTCCTATTTTTATTATCTAGGAAAAGGTGAGTGGTACATTAGGCTTGATAGGCCTTTCACGCCGAAACATCATATTATAAAATAGCTGTTGGGATCTGTTGCTGGTTTCTTGTCTGTGATGGCATACAGGTAGTCCTCAACTTACGGCCACAATTGAGCCCAACTTTTATGTTGTTAAGTAGGTTTTGCCCTGTTTTACGACTTTGCTTGCCACATTTGTTAAACGAATCATACACATGCTAAATTAATACCAAGGTTGTTAAGTGAATCTGGCTTCCCCGTTGACTTTGCTTGTCAGAAGTTTGCAAAAGGCGATCATATGATTCCGAGACACTGCAACTGTCATAAATATGAGTCAGTTGTCAGGCATCCAAATGTAAATCACTTAACCATGGTGATGCTACAAAGGTCATAAGTGTGAAAAACGGTCATAAGTCACTTTTTTCAGTGATGTAACTCTGAACAGTCACTAAAAAAACTGTTGTAAGTCGAGGACTACCTGTATTTTCAGAATTTGGTTTCTTTTTCTCCTCAGGTCCTCTCAGCACTGGATATCCTCCAACCTCCACAGATAGACTGTTTTGAGGAAATGTATCCTTCATTCCACTTGTAGCTAAGTTATTTTCTTATTATTATTTTTCCTACTTTTCTGATGCTCCATTTTGTGCTATCTTTATCTTTCGCTGCTTTTTTCCCCCTCTACATGTTACATATGAGGAAGTGAAATATTCATTGATTATTTTTGCTTTTCTTAAGTCTGATTTGATTGATTTATTTTTTTTGCAGTATATTTGTGTTTTGTTTGCTTTGATTTTTCTCTTCTCGACTTTTTAAAATTTCCTTCATTTATGGTACTGTTTTGAATTCCCCAAACCTACCTCCTGTTATTTTCTCATGCAATTGTTTAATATAGTTCTTTGAGGTTGTCCTTGCCACCGTTCCTTGACAGGTTTCTCAGCCTAAGTCAGCTATTTTCAAGTGATCCAGGTTTATGTGAAATCCTCTCCCTCTTGCCCCAATTTGTATGCAAAATTTACTCACCTGAAAATGATTGAATGATTTACTAGCTTTGCTCCAATCTTTCGGTTTTGAGGTCAACTGCAGCATAGTATTCAAGATAGGTTCTCTATGAGATTGAGAATGCTAGGGAAGCTGAATGTTCAATCCTCTAATCCAGATGTCCACAGCCTTTGGACACAGATAGGAACAGTTGCTATTTTAAGTCTTTTAATAGCTGGCATAGATGGGCCTTGTTTACCCAAAGGTAAGTTGGGGAAGTTGCTCTCCATCATTCCTTCAAAATTCTGAAGAAGTTCTATACCAGCCTATGTTCCTCTGTTGTTTCTGGGCAGCTGAACAATCTTCCCATAAAGCATTAGATTAAAGTCTTCCTCCACCATGAGTTTCTTGGGGTCTGGTGGGACCCAGAGGCTTTCTTAGAAATTATGGTAGGACTTTGTTCTGGAGCCTGCTAACTTCCAGTTTAAATTCTTTGGACAGTAAGTACATGAATCTAACACAGATGTCTGCGACCTTAAACACTCAAAGAGTCATTTGGACCTGTTTCCCACAGAAAAGAAAACACTGGGAGCCACAAAACCCTTCCTGTGCCTGACTATTTCTTGAGTGGCCCCAAAACTAGCATTTGTAGTTGAATTAAACGTTCTGTGTTCTGCGGAAATTTTTCTTGGATTTATCCATGGTTGGCCTACCAGGGGTTGAAAAGCTCAATAAATTGCATGCCAGCGGGTGTCGCGCATTGGCGGTTGTGACACAATTTTTGAGTGACAGGGAGCCGCAGCAGTGGGGTGAAAGAGCCACATTGTCAGGGTTCCAAGGAACACCCTCAACGAAATAAAGCTCTGAGGCCTGAGGTTCCTCAAAGTTCCAATTTATTAGACATGTCATGTTGGCACATCTGGGAAAACCCAAATCTGAAAGCTTCCAGGTTTTCTCCACCCAGATAACAGTTCACAGCCCTGCCCCACACTCATAAGTTCATCACATTGTCCAATCAACTCTTTACACTCAACTGGATACAATCTTCCGGCAGTCACCATCAGACGCAGGCGAAAGTCCTTGAATGTGGAATGTTGTTATGACTAACTTTCTACCGCTCAAACAACAACCCCCTCCCAACTTCCCCAGCTAAAATATGTGGCAGTTAAGAAGCAAAAAAGAAAATTGTCTTCCAAAACTGACACACATGCAGCTCCAGAGCCGCAGATTGCTGACCCCTGATCTAACAGAATATGAGGGGGGCATGGAACCTAATGGACATAAAAGTCTGTGGGGTCTGGATACCATATTGGAGACTGAGATGCTAGAGTCCTTACTGGAGACAGTGGCTTTCTATAATGAAGAGCAATGAGAATGGATGGTCAGGAATGGTCTGACAGTGGAATCCTTGGTGTTGTTTGAGCTTGCTTATTAGCTCAGAGAGCACCAAGCTCTGTTTGCAAGCTCAGAGAGCATCAATGATTCCATGATTCAATTCTGAGCTACATATATTCTCTTCTAATGGTCTAATTGTTCCTGCCTCTTCTCTTTATATGTCAATGTTGCAACACCTAGATAGGGCTATCATATTTTACGTGTAATCTCTCCAACTTCACCTCCTCTCTCCTTTGCTATTTATTACTAAAAGCGATAATTCTATTTTTTTAACCTCAATGGTCAATGACACAATTTTATTTTATTAAGTTTGCTGATTTAATTTATATGCTGCTCATCTCATTAACAAACAATTCTGGGTGGTTTACAGACATCAATGCTCACAGAAGCCACTGCATCAGATATCACTGCTTGGGGTTTTTTTTTAATTGTTAAGAATACTCTAATCTTTTGACAATCCTCCATTAGAATATGTGGTGAGATTGTCAAAATTTCATGAAATTTGAGCGGCATTTGTGGGCAGGAAATAACTCATTTTGAAATTGTGCAGTGGTGTCTAATGCTAGAAAAGATTTCTTATGCTTATTGTATCTTCACTTTTGTTTTCTTTTATTTTCCTTGCAACTAAGATAAAGAGTTTCCATTCTGATTTTTAAAAATTCTTAATAATAGTTACGGTTAATCCATTCTCACATGCATTTCTTATCACAGTTACCTTAACTGCATCGTTCTGTTTTGGAGATGCTTTTCATGTTCTGTAGTTCTTTTTGATTTATGTCAGTCTTTCCTTAGTTTTGTGTCTTCCAAAACTGATGGAAGTTGGCATCCCAGCCCATGTACAGAGTATCAGATTAGGGATGGCTGATCTGTAGAATATTTTTATTTCTAAGTTGTCTGTGCCCTTTGATATTTGTGCCTCCTAATTCTGTTGGAACCTGTTGGTTTTACAAAATGGTGGAAAAGTAATTTTTCTTTTTTACTTAACAATGGGAAGAGCTGGGTATTCGGTTGACTTCCATTCTCTGCTCCATTCCCCATTATCCTCCTTGACAATCACCATCAGTTACGTTATCACTGAATTGATGCAAAGTGACCTTCACAAAGTCATAGTTTCTCCACAACCGCTCAGTTCCGATCATATCAAGGTCTTTTTGTATCAGATCCTCAGGGGTAAGTCTGGCACGCAAATGCCATAAATTGGGAACTATCCATTTGAGCAAAGTTATTTACTTAGATTCAGCATGAATGTAGAAGAGAGGAGCTATCTGGCTTGACGACCATATAACACGACAGGGATTGTAATCATTCAGAAGAAGAATGTGAACAAGTAACACAGTGTCTATACAGAGTTGACAGGTTGATGCATAGCCTGTAATTGTAGAATCACCGATTCCAAGTTAGAAGATTCCATAGCTCCATTGATGATAAAGTTGTGGGTGTCAGAATTTAATCAAGACTGGGAATAATTGAAGGGGATGAGAAGCGAGGATGAGAATAATAAGATGTACGTAAGATAAGTCTAAGGAAGAATCAAAGAGAGTAAAGGGTATTCTACATCGTTTCAAAGGGGAGACTGGATCTCAGGGACTTCAAGTCCCATGAAGAAGAAGGTCCAATTCATTGATAGGATGCTATCTGTGTAATGCTTAGTTGAGTGGTTGGCCAAATGAAACGCTTGGAGGAGTGTTGACATCTTCCTTGCTGCATGTCTTTGAATTGGGGTGGAGAGCCATGTGGGTGGAGATCCAGCGGGGATATGATGAGATGACCAAAGAAGTTGTATTTCTGTTGTCCCTCCTGCAGGATCTCTTCACATGTCCTCTTAACATTTTCTCCTTTCATGTTGACTCAATTTCTTAGGCCCTTTTCTCCTGACACTTTCCTTTGCTGCTGTCCTTCTTAACTCTGTCCTGTTGTACTTCACTCACTTAATAGTTTTCCTCCCCTTTTCCCTTCTTTTCTGACATTTCCGGCACAGTTGCAATTCCATAAAATAAATTCATTGTTGTTATGTAACAGCTCTGAAGCAAAGACCTTCTTTTCAGGGTTTCAGAATCAAGCATACATATGATTTAGCAGGCTATTTGCTTAGAAGAGATAAGGAGTGTTCCCTTCAAAAATTTGTTAGTTATCAAATGTTAAGGAAATGTATTTAGAATCAAGCTTAACCCCAAGCTCAGCACTTTGGCAATAGTATAGAACCGTGATGGCGAACCTATGGCATGCATGCCACAGGTGGCATGCATAGCCATATCAGTGGGCACGCAAGCTCAGCGTGGCGTGCATGTGCACCCCGGCCAGCTGATTTTCAGGCCTTCTGGGCCCACCAGAAGTAGGGAAACAGGTGGTTTCCTGACTCTGGAGGGCCTCGGGGAGTGGAGGGAAGGCCCATTTTTCTTTCTCACCTGGCTCCAGAGCCTTTCTAGGAGTCTGGGGAGGGTGAAAACAGCCTCCCCTCCTCCCCCCCGGAGGCCCTCCAGAGGCCAGAAACGGCCCATTTGCCAACTTCTGGTGGGACTGGAAGGCCTGTTTTTTGCTGTCCTCAGCCTCCAGAGCCTCTCTAGGAGTCTGGGGAGGGTGAAAATTGCCTTCCCCACCCATCCGGAGGTCGAAAACGGCCCGTTTGCCAACTTCTTGTCCCACTGGAAGTTGGCAAACGGGCTGTTTCTGGCCTTGAAGACGTTTCGCTTCTCATCCCAGAAGCTTCCATTCTTTCATTCCACATCCTTCCGTTCTCCACCATTCATTCAAAACTGAAGAACTTCTTGGATGAGAAGCGAAATGTCTTCAAAAAAAACCCAGAAAGTCCAATTGCCTCTCGAAAAAGCACCTTTGGGATATGTTGATAATGGAAGGAAAGATTTAATTTTAGTTTTAATTTTTGTTGCATCCGTAGACGTTAGGTTTGGGAACACCCAAAGAGTTTTCTCTCTCTCTCCTCGCTCCTGCAGGGCTAAAATATTTGCACTCTGCTGGTGTCCTTCATCGGGACATCAAGCCTGGGAATCTGCTGGTCAATAGCAACTGTGTCCTCAAGGTAATTCATCCTTGTAGCCAACCCAGGAAGCTTTCAAGATAGCTACCACTTGAAAGGTGACTCTGATGTCCAGCAGTTTTAGCTATGACAGTCAAAGATTAAACGTTTTCTCACCCACCTCCCCACTCCAGTCACTATAAATCATACTACTTCGCTAAGAATAGATATGTTGGGTGTATAAATATGTATATTGGTGTGACAAATCAGGTGTGGTGTTGTGTTCAAAGCCATTAGTGGTGACACTGCCCACAGTGCTGCAGATTTTAACACGTATCTCCAATAATTCCCTGTCTCGTAGCCTTGCAGCTGATACAGTCATAGCCACCAAATTGCTATTTTTGATGACAAAAGAAGGAGGTTATTAACCATGCATGAAGAGATCAAGCGGGTTGTATTTAATTTAATGCGATGTGCTAGAATTTCAGATATAAAAACATGTATTTGTGTATAGGTAGTCCTTGACCTAAGACCGCCTGCCCATTACGATCCTAAGTTGTGACTGCCATTTAAGTGAGGCAGCCTTGTGATCTTGCTTAACGATCCCACCTCTGCTGTCCTTCATGTAGTCGTTAAATGGGTCACTGGGGGCCTCAGGTTGGGGAGACCTTGGGAAACCTAGCGCAGGCCCAGGCCCACCTACCCCAGCCTTGTAGGGCCTCCCTTATCTTCTAAGACAGCCTATTATCTGCTTCCCACCTCTTGGTGTCCCCATAGGCCCTGGGCCTGCTTCCCCCACCACTACCTGGGCCCTAGAGGCCTCCCGCCCGCCCCACATTCCTCACAAGTGATGTGAGGTTCCCTATTGCTGGCCAAAGAATTCTGGGAGTTGAAGTCCACACATCTTAAAAGTTGCCAGGGTTGAGAAACACTAGCCTAGAGCCACCTACCGAGTTCCCATTTTAAACTGAACCTGAATTAATATCATTCAGTGGCATTGAAAGAATATTGATTCCCAGAAAGAACAGCAGATAGTAGAGAAAGCTAGGCCTGGAAGTTTTATTTCTCTAGAAGTTTCCTCAAGTTGACCACACCTTTTAATCTTCCCTTCAGATCTGCGATTTTGGTTTGGCCCGGGTAGAGGAGCCAGATGAGTCCCAGCACATGACTCAAGAGGTGGTTACTCAATATTACCGGGCCCCCGAAATCCTGATGGGCAGCAGGCATTATGGACGTCCAATTGATATTTGGTCCGTGGGCTGCATTTTCGCCGAACTCCTTGGCAGGCGCATCCTCTTTCAGTCCCAGAGCCCAATTCAGCAGGTATCTCAGCAGGCTTTGAAGAAAGACTTGCGAGAGTGTGCGGTTGCAGAAAGCATGAAAGAACATTTCAGCTTGTGGTTCCACAAAATGTCCACTACTTGACACCGAAGAAGCAACTTACCTTCCTTCTTTTCTTTTTCTCTCTCTCTGTTTCTTCTTTTCTTCTTCCTTCAATCTACGGGTGGCAGTTGGACCTGATTACGGATCTCCTGGGGACTCCTCCTGTGGCTGCCCTCCGTTCAGCCTGCGAGGGGGCCCGAGCCCACATCCTACGTGGCAGTCACAAGCCGGTGAGTACCAACAGGGCTGGCAAGGTAAGAGCCGTGGGAGTGAAGGAAGCCTCTTAACCACTTTGCATCTGTTTTTCCCAGCCATCGTTGTCTGTCCTTTACATGCTCTCTGGAGAAGCAACCCACGAAGCTGTGCATTTGCTCTGCCGGATGTTGGTCTTTGATCCAGTGAGTCCAAGGAAAACTTTAGATCCCAGTCAGATTGTCTCTTTTTTCCCTATCTCTTCTTTCTCTCTCACAGGCATTCACCTCACTATTGTTATTCCGATTGTTTAGGGCAGGAGTGGGCAAATATGGCCGCTTTATGGTTTGTGGACTTCAACTCCCAGAATTCCTGAGCCAGCATGGCTGTCTCAGGAATTCTGGGAATTGAAGTCCACAGGTTGTAAAAGGGCCACATTTGCCCATCCCTGGTTTAGGGGCATAAATTGAAGACACAGAGATAAACCACGAGATATGCTAGATGGTAGAAACAGTATACAGGTAATCCTTGATTTACAGCAGTTCATTTACTGACTGTTTGAAGTTACAACAGCACTGAAAAAAAAGGGACATGACCGTTTTTCACACTTAGGACCATTGCGTTGTCACGTGATCAAAATTCAGATGCTTAGCAACTGACTCATACCTATGACAATCGCAGTGTCCTAGGCTTATGTGACCTCCTTTTGCAACCATCGGACAAGCAGAGTCAATGGGGAAACCCCATTCACTTAAAAAAAACCGTCTTAACAATTTCAGTGATTCACTTAACAAATGTGGCAAGACAGGTCGTAAAATGGGCCAAAATTTACTGAACAAATGTCTTACCTAGCCACAGAAATGTGGGTTCAATTGTGGTTGAAAATTGAGAACTACCTGTACATTTACTCCTCAATGGCATTCTCAGTTAGCAAACATTTGCCAGTACGATAGTATTAAAAATTTCAGACCATCTCATGCATTTATGATCAAATTTTGTATGCCTTAGGATAGCATACACTGAAATGAGAGTAACGCTGACTCTCTCTCTCTCTCTCTATAAACCTAAAAAAATATTTTGTGTTAATCCTCTTAGTTCCTTTCTGATTTGCCCCTTTTTCAGATTTGTTACTTACATTTTTCCAAGAAAATATGGTCATTGTCCTTACAGGCTGCTTCTATCTGCCAACTCTGAGCAACATACTACTCTCCAATATGTGACTAGGGTTAAAAACATTTAATCAAACTTGGATTTATTATAAAGTTATAATCAGATGTGATTATAACTTCCATGATGGAAGTCAGCCATATGCCTGGTTCCATTAGTAATCAAAAATTTTATTTGTTTTTTAATTAAATTTACATGTCAGCCATCTCACTATCCAAAGCAACTCTTGGTGGTATATAAATAAAAAATAAATAACATTTATTAAAATAGGATTTATACAGGGAGTGAGTAGAATAGAATAGAATAGAATTGAATTGAATTGAATTGAATTGAATTGAATTCTTTATTGGCCAAGTGTGATTGGATACACAAGGAATTTGTCTTGGTGCCCATGCTCTCAGTGTACATAAAAAGAAAAGATACATTCGTCAAGAATCATAAGTAATCATAATGATAGTCATAGGGTATAAATAAGCAATCAGGAAATAATATCAATATAAATCGTAAGGATACACACAACAAAGTTAGTCATACAGTCATAAGTGGAAGGAGATGGGTGGTGGGAATGATGAGAAGACTAATAGTAGTGCAGACTTAGTAAATAGTTTGACAGTGTTGAGGGAATTATTTGTTTAGCAGAGTGATGGCATTCAGGAAAAAACTGTCCTCGTGTCTAGTTGTTCTGGTGTGCAGTGCTCTATAGTGTTATTTTAAGGGTAGGAGTTGAAACAGTTCATGTCCAGGATGTGAGAGGTCTGTAAATATTTTCTATATAAATATAGAGTTATAATCAGTGTCTTGTTGGAGGAATGTTTTGTCTCATCTTGCTCTACTGTAAGGCAGAAGCCAAAAAGACATCATGGCTTAAGAGAATAAGTCAAGAGCTCTTCTTTATACATATTGCTAGCAAATCATGGATGGAGCCATCTGCATGTTCTTGGCTACTCTCACAGACAAGAATAGAGGGCAATGAAAAAGACACCTTTCTGTGCAAAACCAGTCATTGAATTGAGATTTCATAACTGGTTGACCCTATTATATTCCTTGCAGACAGCTGGTCATTTGCATTCTTTTAGGGAGTCATTGAGGCAACTTGGAGGTTTATCTGTGTCCTCAGGGTCACCAAGTAGTGCTAATGGTTCCTGTAGTCTGCAATTTTTCTGGAAATCCATTCATACTCCCACAGGTGACCCTGAGGACACAGATAAACCTCCAAGTGCTTCAATGACTCTCAAAAAGGATGCAAATGACCAGCTGTCTGCAAGGAATATAAATCCTTCCATTCCCCACCATCCAGTCAGAGCTTAAGAAGCTTCTTGGATGAGAAGCAAAATTTCTTCAAAGAAAAACAAGAAAGTCCAGTTGCCTCTTAAAAAAGTGCCTTTAGGGCAACCATAACCTGGATGACTGAGAATCTCTACAAACTTTTAGGACCAGTCACTTAGCAACCATTCAAATCTATCACCTACCAGAAAAAGGGGATTTATGATCCGGATCTTATGAACTGGCAGTGACAGTTCCTCACTGCCACCACAGTCATGTGACTGCACTTTGGGCACTCAGCAATATGGCTACATTTACCGCCATTTGCATTGTCCCATGGTCACATGACTGCATGTTACGATGGTTTGGTCAAAAAAATCACACTTAATTTCACTTTTTGGCACAGCCATGATATAGCAAACAATGGATTCACTCAGCGATCATAGTGTTCATTTAATAACCACCACAAAAAGTCGTAAAGGCAGGCTGGTCACATGATTGGCCCATTTTACAACTGTTAAGACTTATGGCTGTAATAGGAAGGCTCCAATAGCAGTCATAACTCAAGGACTACCTGTATATAAGAGTTCTCTCAGCGAACTCTTGTTGGATAATGCTCACTGTCCTTCCTTCTGCAGGCCAAGCGGATCTCTGCCAAGGATGCCCTTTCTCATCCTTACTTAGATGAGGGGCGACTGAGATACCACACCTGTATGTGCACTTGCTGCTTTTCGGTCTCCTCCGGACGCATTTATACCAGTGACTTTGAACCCCGGGCTGACCCCAAATTTGACGGCTCTTACGAAAAGAACCTCGCTTCTGTCTGGCAAGTCAAAGGTAATAGATCGAGTCCAAACCTCCTCACAAATCCTGGGGTTTTCAGAAAGCTCCATCCTTAACATAGTGGTGGCACAGTGGTTAGAATGCAACATTGCAGGCTAATTCTGCCGACTGTCAGCAGTTCGATCCTGACTGGCTCAGCCTTCCATCCTTACGAGGTGGGTAAAATGAGGACCCAGATTGTTGGGGCAATATGCTGATTCTGTAAACTGCTTAGAAAGGGCTGTAAAGCACTATGAAATGGTATATAAGTCTAAGTGCTATTGCTATTCCCAGTTGCTAATTTAGGAGCTAAATATTGATCTTAACCATCCTATATTAAGTATATGAGGGCAATTAATGCACATAATTCTTCCATGAATTCCACCAGACTTTGGGATTTAAACTTTTGATCTGATTTGTTTTGGATTGTCTCAGTTCTTCTCCATCCGCTGTGAATCATCTTACATAATTCTTGGGAAGTCAAAAAGTTAACCCATTGTTTTGTGTCTCGTCATCCTAAGAAGCACATCCCATTTGGGTTTGCTAAATCCTCCAATTCCTCTGTGCAACCACGTAACACTAATGGCATCTATTAATTTTGGAGGAGGAAGATATCTCTAAAGAGGTGATGAAGATTTTGCAGTAGTAGAGATTTATCCGAATCGACACGTGAAGTTACAAGTGTATACAGGGCAACTCCCTTGAATGGCAAACTGTCTGAATGGGCAGTACTGTTGTGATTCACTGCTGCTATTATCCCAAATAGTTGTGATAGCCTTGGCTTGCCTGAATTAGCAGAATGAAAATACATAGAAAAATAGAGAAGAAGAAAAGAGAAACGTATATTATGTAAATACAGGGCTACAGATTTGGGCCACAAAAATTGGGGGGATTTTTGTGGCCCTGATGGTGACCAAATAAAAATGAACTCTTTGTTTTTCAGAACTGGTGCACAGATTTATCTTGGAACAGCAGCATGGGAAACGGGTCCCCCTCTGTATCAACCCCCAGTCAGCTGCCTTCAAAACTTTCATCCGGTAAGTCTCTGAAATTGGTGGCTCCCCTAAACACCAAGTTTGTGGTTCTGCCTTTACAGAGGGAGAAAAAGGAGATAATACAGACAGTCCTCAACAGTTTTGTTACAACGGCACTGAAAAACGTGACTTATATCCATTTTTCACAGTTATGACCTTTGCAGCTTCCCCTGATCATGTGATCAAAATTCAGATGCTTGGCAACTGGCTCATATTTATGACCATTGCTATATCCCAAGTTCATGTGATCCCCTTTTGTGAGTTTTTAACAAATGGGGAAACCAGATTCACTCAACTGGCTTTAGTAGCTTATCAACTGCAATGATTCACTTAAACAACTGTGGCAAGAAAGGTCGTAAAATGGGGCAAAACTCACTTAACAGCAGAAATTTGGGCTCAATTGTGGCCGTAAGTCGAGGACTGCCTGTCTTTTTTTTAAAAAAAATTTTTTTTCCTCCCACTTGGCAGCTCCACAGCATGGCATTCTTCCAAGATGTCCAAAAAGGAAGAGAGATGAAGCTGCTCCTTGGATGGCCATGATGGAAAAAGAAAAGAAAGACAGAAGAAGAGGGACGGAAGACACAAGAGGTTGGCATTGCTGCTGGCAGCGGAGAGATGAAAAGGAGACCGAGGCGCTGCTCTTTATCCTGCACTCTTGAATATTTTGACTCATGGACAGATGCATTTGGGAAAGGGGGGGGAGGAGAAATGTCTGGGTCATTATTATATTACTGATATACTTATATTACTGATAATATAAGTGGACAAGTTGGGGAAGGGATTTTTTTTTTTTTAACTGATGGATGTCTTTTCCTTTCCTCCGTTCCTGTACTGCACTGGAAAACTCTGGGTTGTAGGCACTGTCTTTGTGAATTCTTTCCCTTCTTCCCCCAGGTCTGCACCAATATTTTCCCTTCCTTATACATATGGGCTCTTATCTGGCTTCCTCCGAAAAGGGGTGACTAGGTTGGAATAGAGAAGTGTTCTTGAAATGAGGGGTGTCTGTTCTTTCTGTTTCAAAGAATCTCCGCCTACACAAAGACTCTGACTCGTGTTTTTCAGCATTGTCCCCTTTAAGATGTCTGGATTTCAAATCCCAGAATTCCCCAGCCAGCATGGCTAGCTAAGGAATTCTGGGAGTTGAAGCCTGGACATTTTAAAGTGGACAAGGTTAAGAAACACTGCCTTAGACTAAGGATAGATGTGTTCCCCCCACCCACCCCCAAATCCCCTTACCCTTAAAAGATTTCCCAAACAGGGATAGGTGGGAGAAATAAATAAGGCTCAATTTTCCGAATCTACCACAAGGTCCAGACATTTCTTGCAACTAGGGATTGCGTTTTGAGTCCTTGTCTTCGGTCTCCTCCAGGAGCTTCTGGGAAACTATGTGGCTTCCTTAAACCTGTCTTATACAGCTGGGGGGAAAAAAACACATTTATTTTGGGGTAAGATGCTAAATACTTCTTTGGTGTGTATATTTGGCCTACCTGCTTTCCAGGTTTCCCTTGTTCCCAGCATGGACATCTCCTAAGCGGCTGGAGGCCCTGATGCATTTCTGCTGTATTTTCAGAAAGTGCTTCTTTTCTTTAAAAATATGTGGTGTTTTCTGAAAAATTGAGGTTTTGGCCTTGATGCTGGATGTGGAATGCCTATTAAGTTCTCCCCAGGCCCCTCCACTTTTCCTGCCTGCAGCCAGCTCAACCTCCTTCCTTGATTAAATGTATTCCTCCATTAATTTCACCCCCCCCCCTCCTTCAAAAATCTACCTCTTTTCTCCTAGTGGATTTCATGTGTGCATGTGTTTGGGACACTTGTGTTATTAATTTTGTATTTTTATTTTGTTGGTGGGTTGATGATTTCTTTACTTGGCTGGTGTTTCATCTCTTTTTGTCAATGATCTGTTATTAATTTATGATCAGAGCAGTTTATATACTAGTTTAAATCCCGAATGTGTGCATATATTTCTTCCTTGTGTCTGGAAAAAAACAAAATGCATGAGGGGGGGAAAAACACACCAATAACATAGAACCAATAACCTGGAAACTTGAACTGTCTTTGGCTGTAATAATCCCCCCCCCTTAATTTAATTGTGCACCATAGTAGTTGAATTAAATTTATGCTGTATATTTTTCTCCTGTAGTGGGTTTGGTTTGTCTCTTAGTCTTTTGTTTTCCTTTGGACGGGACCAGTTGTTCTCACTGTTGAGCAGTGGACAAGCTGCCACCTGAGTTAAAAGTTAAGTCTGATAGGAGGAAGTTCTTTGTTCTCAGCTGACAACTCCGAATGGGTGCGCCCAGGAAGTGATGTGACTTGCCATGTATCCCACATCCTTTACTCCACAGTTGTCAAAGACAAGTCAAGGGTATGACACTCTTTGGAGGCCAATATGCTTGAACGTTGAAGACAGAGAAATCCAGCACAATTTCCAACATCCGAGGTTAGAATTTTTTTTACCTCCCCTTCTTTCAACTTCTCCTTTTGCCTCCCTTTCTTCAACCCGCCCCTCACTCCCTTAAGTGTAACCCCTTCTCTCGTGCCTCCGAGCTGAAAGCAAACTTCACATTTCTTCCCTAGTATCCGATAAGGCTGGGATTATGGCTTCATACTTCTCAGATATCATCTGAAGGGAAAGCAGCATAACTTTACAGAGAGGAAAACAGAGAGGGCTAGCTTAGAGCCTGTATTAATGTTGCTCTTTTGGACTTGTATTGTTATGGTGATTAATCCCACCTTTCCATTTAGCCTTGTTTGATAAATTAAGGACAATCAACTTTATTCAAGGCTTTTTGAGGATGGGCCTTCCTAACCATTCTTCAGGTTTTTTTAATGCTATCATGGCAAGTTTGAACCTAAAATAATATGGAAAAAGATAACAACAGCTTTCTTTAACCTTATGTTGTTCAGATATTTTGGCCTACGTATTCCTGGTGTAGAGTACAGCTATATAGCAACTTGGAGCTGATTTCAAAAACTACTTTGGAGAACATTAACGGGCACGAATATGGTGCTTGTCTGCAACTCTTTAAAGCAGCCATGTCCTCTCCTGGGATCTGACAACTGCCCACTGCAGCTGATATGACATTCCAGGAAAAGATGAAGCTGCTTTAAAGAGTTGCAGACATGTGCTATATTTAGTATATACCAGGGGTGAAATGCTCCCGGTTCGGACCAGATCGCCCGATCCGGTAGCGCTGGCGGTGGGTGGTTTGGAGAACCAGTAGCAGAAATCCCTGGCCCCCCCCCCCAAGCCCAGCTGAGCCGCGCGATCATCAGAGGCTTTTTTTTTTTACTTTTAAAAGCATTTTTCCTTTTCTTTTAAAAGCAAAAAAATAAAAAAATGATTTTAAAAGAAAAAAAAGCCTCTGATGATCAGGCAACTCAGCTGGGATCGTCAGAGCCTTTTAAAAGCATTTTTTAAACAACCTCTTCGGCCGAAGAGGTTGTAGAAAAAATGCTTTTAAAAGTAAAAAAAAGTTGGCCACGCCCACCCAGTCACATTACCCCCCTCACCAAGCCACGCCCACAGAACCAGTAGTAACAAATTTTACATTTCACCACTGGTATATACTGTACATCAAAAGTAATACATGGCCCTAGTATTGACATAGTACAAACTGGAGCAAACTGTCCTGGGAGAAGATACAATCAGGGCTTAGAAGAACTGTAAAAATGGTTGGGATTTGCAAGGCAGAGTTCTTGTTGTATTCTAACCTTTCTTAGTCATGTCTTAGTTTCTTTCAAATACCTTTTAGGCTGCAATTCACAAATTTCTAGCCGATGTTAATTATAAAAGCTAAGTATTTGGAGATCTCATCCTACATATCCGGAAAGCACCGAGTTAGTATAACCCATTGCACTTAAGAGAGTTTTGTTGGGCTGTTTTGTTATGAGCTGTTTTTGAGTTGTTAGGCTAAGTTTGCACAACTCGGTCACATCCTTCAGTTGCGTCAAAGATTGCTGATTCTTACATACAGTTCTCTGACCCGTCTCCTCCCATTTTCTTCTCTATCCAGATTTTTTTCCCCCTAACAAAAGTAATATTGGCTCCAGATGCAGCCACTTTGATCTGGCTTGGTTCTTGTCCGTTGGCTGTCATGTTGGGTCCCCCAACAAGCGTTGAGATGCCGCCTCCTTCCACTGCCTCCCCGCTAAGCGATTGTGGCGACTGCTTGCTGATCATGGTAAGCCTGGCGACCGTCGCAGCTGTGTTCATCGTGGTCTCAGCCATCCTGTGTGAACGGGTTTTCCGGGGGTCCCTGCCCCAAGAAACAGGAGCTGTGCCAACCGTGTGGAGGCAAGGAGGGACGCTGTGGATTGAGCCCCCGCACAATAATAGACAACCAGATGTCCTCTCAAGGCCATCAGCTACAGTCCCACTTTGGATTCAGCGCTCAAATGACTGGTTCCTGGATGTTTCTCCTGCAGGACTAGAGAGCTACGGTTCCACTGAGGACCTCCAGGGAGAGAGCCCTAGTCCCAGCAGCACTAGCCCTCTCTGGAGCCCCAGCGAGACATCCTGGGCAATCCAGCCACACGTAACTCTGCCAGACATAGATAATTTCTTTCGAAATAGTAGCCATGTTACTTATAGTTCTCAGCACTTGGTTTAACTGAGGGCAAAAAGGCCCCAATATTCTCTCTTGAATCCAAGGTTCAAAGATCTGAGAGTAGCTTACCTGATGGCTGATCAACAATATCTTCTACTTCAGAACATACAAAAAATGCTTTGATATGTATGTATGAGTGAGAAAACACAAACTTTGTTCCAGGAAACTCCCCTATTTAGGAGCAAGGGAGGAGAATGGAAAACGGGTCTTGAAGAAGTTCTAGATCAGGGGGTGTCAAACTGGCAACCCACAGGCTGGATGCGTCACAAACCCCAGCTCCACACCCACCCCAGCTCCGCAAAGGGAAAAAACGTGAAACATCATGTGACAGCAACATGATGCGGCGAGTTTGACACCCGTGTTCTACATCAGGGGTCTCCAACCTTGGCAATTTTAAGCCTGGCGGACTTCAAAGCTGGCTGGGGAATTCTGGGAGTTGAAGTCCACCAGGCTTAAAGTTGCCAAGATTGGAGACCCGTGTTCTAGATCATTGTCTAGATCGTTCTAGATCATTGTCAACCTGGTGACGGAGGCAAGTATTTAAAGGCTGGGGTGAAAGGAGACCAAAACGAGTTTTGGAACTAGAGGTGTGTTCCTTGGAAAAAGATGGTAAAATCATAAAGACAAGGAAAAACAACAAGGAAACTGATACAATAGCCCTCGACTTATGACCACTGTTGAGCCCAAAATTTCCATTGCTAAGTGTGTTTTGCTCCATTTTACAACTTTTCTTGCCACTTGTTAACTAAGTCACTTCAGTTGCCAAGTTAGTAACAGGGTTGCTAAATGGCTTTTCCGATGGAGTTTGCTTGTCAGAAGGATGCAAAAAGTGATCGCATGACACCGGCACACTGTTGCCAAGCATCTGAATTTTGATCCCGTGACCACAGGGAGGCTACAATGGTCGTAAGTGTGAAAAATAGTCATGATTCACTTTTTTCAGTGCCGTTGTAACTTCGAACACTCACTAAATGAATGGTTGTATGAGCCTCGGTGTCACAGTGGTTAGAGTGCAGTACTGCAGGCTACTTCTGCTGCCTGCCGGCTGCCTGCAATTTGGCAGTTCAAATCTCACCAGGATCAAGGTTGACTCAGCCTTCCATCCTTCCGAGGTCGGTAAAATGAGGAGCCAGATTGTTGGGGGCAATAGGCTGACTCTAAAACCTCTTAGAGAGGGCCGTAAAGCATTACAAAGCGGTATATACGTCTCAGTGCTATTGCTATTGTAAGTCGAGGACTACAATCAATTAGTGACGGTGCAAAGTCATGACAGACCTCCATGGAGGTACTTCTGACTTGATTCCAAAATTCTGACAACCATCTTCTTCCTCCCCTCCATGATTTACGTCACCACATTTTGGGTGATCAACAACTAGCCCACCCCATGGCCATTTGCAATATCCCGTGGTCGCGTGAATGCGTTTTACAGTGTTTCTGCTAAAAACCAAAATATAGCAAACAGCAGCCACTTACCCACTTCTGCATTTGCTTTACAACTGCGACAAAAAAGTATCCTAAAATCGGGTTCATTACGGTCTTAAGTCTAAGACTACAGGTAGTCTCTACTTACAACAGTTCGTTTAGTGACCATTCGAAGTTACAAGGGCACTGAGAAAAGTGACTTATGACCATTGTTCACATTTACGACCGTTGCATGGCCACATGATCACAATTCAAACGCTTGGGAACTGACTCAAATTTATGACGGTCGCAGTGTCCTGGGGTCACGTGATCATCTTTTTGCCACCTGCCAATCAAAGTCAAGGGAGAAGCCAGATTCAGTTAACAACGGTACTACTAACTTAACAACTGTAGTCATTCAACTAACAAATATGGTAAGATAAGTCATAAAATGGGGCAGAAACTCATTTAACAAATTGTTCACTTAGCAACATAGATTTTGGGCTCAGTTGTGGTGGTAAATTGAGGATTACATGTACTTTTCTTTAAAAAAAGATGCATTCTAAACTTTTATGTACTACTCATCTCTCTTCCATGATTTTTCTACACCTTCAATCCCTAAATTCCCTTAGATCAGTGGTTCCCTTTTTTTGGCCATGCCCCACCTAAGCATCTCTAAAATCCTGATCCCCCCATGACATATAATTCTTACTATTCAAGAAGTGAACTCCTACTCACGCGGAGGAAGCCTAAAAGGCCATTAACTTGGTTTAAACAAGGTTCCAAAGAACATGGCATCCATGAAAGAGAAAAATAAAAGAACAAAGGACAGTAGAAGTACTGAGGAACTTAATAGTATGAAAGGATATGAAAAAAACAGCAAATAAGGTTTCAAAACATATAATAGAGAACTGAAATGCATAAATATAAAATAATTTTAATGAAAGCTTTTTCTGTAATACTTTGATCATATTAATTACTATACATATTAAAATAAAGGTATCTAACAAATTCAAAATACAATTTGAACTTGCCTCAAGATCATATGAAGATCTTGAAGAAAACATATGAAGAAAACATGAGGATCGGTTGCAGGAACTGGGTATGTCTAGTTTAATGAAAA